CTTTCGCCAAGCAACAAAAATCACGTGAAAAAGGTTCTTGGAAATTTACCCTCCTTATTGGACATCCAACCAAACAACATGCTAATCGAGGCTGCTACTATGTTCTGGGACGGAGAAAGGCTGTATTCCGTTTTGGCAATATAGAAATGACTCCTCTTTTGGAGGAAATAGGAGGATTCGCTGGATTACCGTGGGATAGTACCGGTTTACTAGTACCGGAAAATCGCACTACCAGGGGGTTTCTGAAGATGATGGGTTTGAGAAAGAATGATGACTTTGGAGTGCCTGAAGAAGTCCTATATACCCTTCGACATCCTCTATGAACGATATGGACACATCAAATATTGCCGTATCTTCCATGATGAATTCTCCATCACTTCCCTAGGTTGGACTCATCTTAGGGCTTTTGTATTCATCGTCTGCTTTCTAGATATGATAGTGTATCCAAGCCATGGGGACAGAATTCACACCAGGTTGGCCATGGTAACCAAAGCTGTAATAGAGGGAATTGAGGGAAAAACCTATACTATTGTTCCGATGATTGTAGCATATATATACCGGGCTCTGGATCGTTGCAAGAAAGGGTTCAAACATTTTGAGGGTTGTAACTTGCTACTGCAGATTAGGTTGTTAGAACATCTTCAGAGGGGCCAATACCGCCAAGAGTTTCCACGGAGACCATGGAATGATCACATAGCTTTCCACTATCCTAAAAGAATGACCTTTATCCCACACAGGTTTGCACAGCCAGAGAATGCTACAGAATGGGCATAGTTTTTCAGCAATTTGACCGAGGACCAGGTTCACTGGATGTTCGAGTGGTTCCCTACTAATGAATTTTTCATCAGATCCAGGGATGTTTCGCATTTGTTGTTAATTGGGTTAAGGGGAATACATCCCTATGTTCCTATCAGGGTCATGAGACAAGCTGGTAGAAAACAAGTCATACCACGAGTCTACAAAATGAGTCATTACAGAGCCGAGTTTCAGGATGATGCCATTCCATACAAATATGATGCCCAGCACATGTGGCACTTGAAGATTATTGTGGAAAAGAATACCATCGAGCCAGATCGATATCATGCAGGTCATGTGTACTTCTACCCATCATGGTTAGAAGATAACATATCAGGAATAGTCGAGCCAGGGGTTGGTCAAGGAAACAATGTCATAGATGAAGCTGCTGAAGCACAAGTGAAATATGAGAGGCTACGCAAAAGGGTCCTTGAATCCGAAGCTAGGCATTTGGAACAGCACAAGTTCGACATGGAGTCAATTAACGAGTGGAAGGAAATGGCTACAAGATCGACAGAAAGGCTGGAATATTTGGAGCAGGGTCTAATAGAACTGGAAGGAAAGATGAGGAAAAGGGTCACAGACTGTCAGAATGCACAGGGCAACAAGGGAGGACACCTAGCAAGGGCGTACCTACTGTTAGACATGCACGACCTGGGGAATCTGATCGACGGAGCCAAGAAGGTCAAATATGGAGAAGGACCCTCCGGGACCAAGTAGATTAGATTTAGCTGTTTTTTTGAAACGTTTTTGAATGCAATAAGGCAAATGCCATTAGTAACTCGTTTATTTATTGTCGTTTTTAGGTTCGTCTTATTTATTACATTAATGAAATGAGGCATTTATCGACATTAAATCTCTCCAAATCTACTTGTCGCTAGGCTTACCTCGGGCACAACGAGGTTCCCCAAATTAGGACGCGAATTTACATTCCTGTAAACGTGTTTAAATACTGCAAATACTTTTTAGAATCCTTACTGACTTGTTTACCTTTTGTATTTTTTTCTTTATTTTGATTATTCCCATCCCGTGAGGTTGGTTCGCACATACTGTCATCGTCAGCATATCACACCAGATCAGGAGGCCCTCCTCCTCCTCCTCCTCCAAGTAATCCAAAAGGCAAGGGAAAAGCTAAGATGGATGATATGAGTGGTATCCGGAAAGAAAATGCTGTGCACGTGGAAAATGTTGAAACTTCAGATGGTCGGAGTACTCCGACCTAGAATTATTTGGTCCTACGGTTAGAACAGAAAATACTAGAATTACAAGGGGAACTTGAGCAGGTCCGCAACTTGGCAAACCTCTCCCTCACCTTAAACGTCCCAGATCTAACCAGCAAAATGCCCAAAACCCAGCACCTCCTCAAAACACACCAAACCAACGTCCACAAAACCCCCCCGCACCCCACCAATACGCAACACCTCCCCAAAATCTTAATCCTCCATCAATACCCACTCCTCCTCCACACCAACACCTTCCTACTCAATACCCACAAACCACTTACCATACTCCTCAGAATACCCCACAACCTATCCTTGATCCGCAAAATTCAACTAATGATCACCACTACACTCCAACCCTCGGCACCCACCAAAACAATCCCATATATGTGGAAACCTTACCCCACTCCACTCAACCAATCTCATACACACCAGAATCCGCCGAGAAGGACCTGCTCATTGAGAATATGATGGAGGAACTCAAGAAGATCACAAGCCGAGTCCAGGGTATTGAAGGAGGTAAAATAATTGAGGGTCTGAATTATGAGGATCTATGCATTCAGCCGGACGTGGAACTGCCGGAAGGTTACAAACCTCCCAAGTTTGAGATGTTTGACGGAATAGGTGACCCGAAGGTACATTTGAGGACATACTGTGATAAGCTCGTGGGAGTTGGGAAAGATGAAAGAATTCGCATGAAACTATTCATGAGGAGTCTCACTGGAGATGCCCTTGCTTGGTATATCAGTTAGAATCCCAAGAAGTGGGTTAATTGGGTAAGCATGGCATCAGACTTCATGGACCGATTCAGGTTTAATACAGAGAATGCACCAGACGTCTTCTACATACAGAACCTCAAGAAGAAACCAAAAGAAACATTCCGCGAGTATGCTACTCGATTGAGGTCAGAAGCTGCAAAGGTCAGGTCGGCACTAGAGGAAGAGCAGATGAACAAATTCTTCGTTAGGGCCCAGGATCCACAATACTATGAAAGGTTAATGGTCATCGAAAGTCACAAGTTCTCCGACATCATCAAACTCGGGGAAAGGATTAAAGAAGGGATCAAGAGTGGGATGGTAACCAATTTTGGGGCATTGGAGGCTACGAACAAAGCATTACAATGAGGGGGTATATCAAAGAAGAAAAAAGTAGGGGCAGTGATGGTGGCCCAAAGTCCAAAATCTCCACTCACATACCAAACACCTCCACCCACATACCAACCTTCACCTCCTAGATATTCTCAACCCGCTACCGCCTATCACACTTATAACACCCAGCCAGCCTATTACCATTCACCTCCGACCCGTCAAAACTATCAAAAACCCAGACCCAATTTTGTTCGCAGGCTGCCCAGACAATAGACCCTTATTGCTGCATTGACCAACTAAATGAAAGACTGAAGGCTGCCGGATATGTCACCCCCATTCCAGCTATCGCCATGGAAAACTCCTCCCAATGGATCAACCCGAATAAAACATGTGCGTACCATTCTGGCATGAAAGGGCATACTATTGATGAATGTCGCACTCTGAAAGACAAGATTCAAACCCTGATTGATACCAAAGTCATACAAGCAAAGGAAGCTACACCAAATGTCCGTAACAATCCCCTCCCAGATCATAGGGGTGAAGGAGTAAATGTGATAAAAATCGATGAAGAATGGGATCCTGAAGGGTCGATTGGGCTTATTCGGGAAGGTGACAACCCTAAACCTGCAGTCACACTCACTCCTATTGTGGTACAGATACATCCACCGGTTGAAATTGATGTAGCCGCATCAGTCCTGTTTGAAATTGAAGTAATAGCACCTGCGACTACACCTACTCCATTTGAAGTAGAAGTATCCACACCCTTCACTGTGACGGTAGCATCCACACCACCTTTCAAGTCCAACGCCATACCCTGGGATTACATTGCCGAAGCTATGAGAAAAAAAAGCAAATATGGAGAATCTGGTGCTGCACAAGGGATGACCAGAACTGGAAGGATCTATACACCCAAAAATTTGGAAGGAATAAGCAAGGACGCTGCTACCAAACAACCCGTCGTTGAAACTAGTCCAGATGATCTCTGGAGGAAAGTACAGGCAAGAGAATACTCTGTCGTTGATCATCTGAACAAGACTCTCGCCCAGATATCCATCCTGTCGCTGCTGGAAAATTCTAAGGCACATAGGAATGCTCTGATGAAGGTGTTGAATGAAGCTTATGTGCCAAACAACATCACCAGTGGAGAGATGGCCAACATGGTAGGGCAAGTACTGGAATGCCACAAGATCACCTTTCACGAAGATGAACTACCGCCAGAAGGATTAAGTCACAACAGGGCACTGCACATCACAGTACAGTTTGAGGATAAATTCATCGCCAGAGTCTTAATAGATGGGGGTTCAAGCCTCAATATTTGTCCATTGACTTCTCTGAAAAGGTTGGGTAAAGATTTTCATGAGATACGAGCAGAGAGTATGAATGTGAAGGCATTTGATGGGTCTCAAAGGGCCACAATTTGGGAAATTAACCTTTGTTTGCAGATGGGCCCGACTTGGTTTGATGTTGAGTTTCAGGTATTAGACATATCTGCTACGTACAATCTTTTACTGGGACGACCTTGGATACATGCCGCTGGAGCTGTGGCTTCTACGCTACACCAGGCCGTGAAGTTCGAATGGAACCATCAGGAGGTAATCATTCATAGAGATGGAAGTAATCCCATTTACACCAGTTAAACTGTCCCGGTTATCGAGAATAGAAGAAAGCTGGGTGGAGAAACTTATCACCGCATCGAGCGTGTCAATGCAATTGAGAAAGATAAATGGTGGAGTAGCAAAATCGAAAGCATACTAGCATGGTCAGGGTATGAACCCGGCAAAGGGCTTGGGAAGAAACTCCAGGGCATTACCAAACCGATACAATTAAAATGTCATGGCTCAACTTTTGGGCTCGGATATCAGTATACATGGCAAGAATATGATGATTGGTCGCACCCATGGTGTGGTCCCTATTACCCTCTCGAGCAGCCATTGCCGTATCTGAGTCAGACCTTTCACCAGCCAACACAATATGGGGATCTGCAGAGGAGGAAGCTTTGGCTGGGCTAAAGGACCTGATTCTAGAAGACAAGGATATGGATTGCAATGTGGTAGTTGAGGAGGAGGAGGAAGAAGGCCTTACCATTCAGACCATGGAGAAGGGTGCTGTTCTCAAGAATTGGACTGTTGCACCATCTCGGGCCCGTCGAGTTCCTGGGTAGCTTGGCAATTAGCATGACCTGTTTTTAATAGCCATTTTAAACATTTAAGATATTTCCAGTATTTTGTTTAAAGACGCATTTTTTCGAAATTTAATTAATGCATTGTTATTTAGTATTTATTATTATCTTTTATATTTTCCCTCTATAGCATTACTATTTCTTACCTTGATGAACCAACGACTATGACATGTAATGAGACAACACAACATAAGGATAGTGACTCGGAAGAAGAGGATGAAATACCTGAGGAAGTTATCAGAGAAATTGAGAATTTTGAGAACAAACCTAAGTCCAACCTGGACGAAACCAAGAGAATTCACACCGGGGAAGCTGGTGCTAAAGCGAATCTTCCCGCATCAAGATGAAGCCAAAGGAAAGTTTTCACCCAATTGGCAAGGGCCCTACATGGTTCATAGGGTACTAACAGGAGGAGCACTCATACTTGCAGAAATGGACGGAGAAGTTTGGCCAAAGCCTATCAATTCAGACGCAGTCAAGAGATACTATGTTTAGATTTGTTTATATTTTTTCATCTGATGTAACTAAACTACGCTTGACCTGATTCCCATTTAAGAGGGGATACGTAGGAAGCCCTATGGGTTCGGTCACATCTTAATAAAATCCTCATTTTCCTAGAACCAGAAATTGGGGCAGAATTTTGAGGAGGACCCTCAAAATTCTGGAGCAAGTCCAGCCGACGTCATCATATGTAAGATAGTCGGAAATCGATAAAGTAACTGGGGCAGAATTTTGAGAAGGATTCTCAATATTCCGGAACAAATCCAACAAACTTCGTTACATGCAGAACGGCCGAAGGATCACTTACTAAACTATGGTAGAATTTTGAGGAGGACCCTCAAAATTCTAACGCAAAGAAGCCGCAATGTCTCTAAAAGTGCCGCAGTCATTAGTTCATCTAATTTACTTGATATTATATACCACTATGTTTTCTAAAATAATCTATTTCATCAAATAAGTGCACATTTTTCGAAAACTTTATTTCTATGGTAGCCAGGTGTTACCCAGGATAACTCGAACAGGATCTACAGAGCAAAGCAAAGCAAAACAAGCAGACAAAGGCATGAACCAACCTCCCCTACAAAACTCACGATTTTTCTTTAAATGCAGGGACAAGGAATAAACACAAGTATGTGTGCCTTAAAATCATTACCTTCATAACAACCAGGCCGCCAAACACAAATATATCTCCAGCTAAGAAATATTCTGCTCCTATTTGCTATTTGTCCATTGCACGAGACTAAGCTCTGTCTCGATCCTTGCATGAGGCTAAGCCCTGCCTCCCTACCTGCATAAGGCTAAGCATTGCCTTCTTCCTGCATGAGGCTAAGCCCTACCTCCATATTTGCATAAGGCTAAGCATTGCCTTCTCTCTGCATGAGACTAAGCCCTGTCTCAAATCTTGCATGAGGCTAAGCCCTGCCTCCATATTTGCATAAGGCTAAGCGTTGCCTTCTCTTTGCATGAGACTAAGCCCTGTCTCAATTCTCGCATGAGTCTAAGCCTTGCCTTCCTATTTGCATAAGGCTAAGCATTGCCTTCTTCCTGTATGAGACTAAGCCCTGCCTCCATATTTGCATAAGGCTAAGCATTGCTTTCTCTCTGCATGAGACTAAGCCCTGTCTCAAATCTTGCATGAGGCTAAGCCCTGCCTCCATATTTTCATAAGACTAAGCGTTGCCTTCTCTTTGCATGAGACTAAGCCCTGTCTCAATTCTCGCATGAGGCTAAGTCCTGCCTCCCTATTTGCATAAGGCTAAGCATTGCCTTCTCTCTGCATGAGACTAAGCTCTGTCTCGACCCTCGCATGAGGCTAAGCCCTGCCTCCCTATTTGCATAAGGCTAAGCATTGCCTTCTCTCTGCATGAGACTAAGCTCTGTCTCGATCCTCGCATGAGGCTAAGCCCTGCCTCCCTGTCTGCATAAGTCTAAGCGTTGCCTTCTCTTTGCATGAGACTAAGCTCTGTCTCAATCCTTGCATGAGGCTAAGCCCTGCCTACCTATTTGCATAAGGCTAAGCATTGCCTTCTCTTTGCATGAGACTAAGCCCTGTCTCAGTTCTTGCATGAGGCTAAGCCCTGCCTCCCCATTTGCATAAGGCTAAGCACTGCCTTCTCATGAGACTAAGCATTGTCTCCCTTTGCATAAGTGTTGCTCTATTCTAAACCTTGCATTATCCTCTTCTCTCGGGGCTAAGCTCTACCCCAACACTTTGCACAAGACTAAGCTTTGCCTTGTTATTACCATTGGTATCATGTCTCTGCACTTCATGGGCTGATGTATAGCCAACTTGTCCAAAGGCGTCATAGTCCGAAGGCATCATCCTCATAGCATGAAGACACCATGTCATGGCCTGAGGATCTCTCAATACTGCACATCATTATTCAAAGGCATCATGGTTCAGAGGCACCATTCTCATGGCCCGAGAACATCATTTCATGCCCTGCGTGTCACTTATCTCATGATTCATGGCCAGGGACGTCATGGTCTAAGGACGTCATTCTCACTGTCCAAAGACAACCTTCATGGTCCAAAGGGAATTTGCATCCTGTTTAAATTCTCGCAGTAATCTATACACTTGCATGCATTGTGTTTTAAGTTTTGCAGGGAATCCAGGAAGTAACCGTTCTTCAAACGGGAGCAACCTTCGCTCCGGTTTCCGCTCATACCATTTACACCTTGCCATTATTTCCAACGTAACCAATTCCCATCAATTACTCGCTTTTGCTCTATGACCATTCAGATATCTGTCCTGTGATACATCCGTTACGATTCAGATTCACCTTCATAACTCCGCATAAACCCATCCGATACTATCCTTCCCAAAAGAACCCTTTCTGAAACATACGATTATTCCTATAACAATTCCATCGGTTTCACTCACCGTTGGGTCCAGAACTACACATGGCCTGATTCCTGTAAAACCAGGGATATGTAGGCAGCTCAGAGAACAGGGTTCAGCCTATATTTTTCAAAACACCCCCATTCGGTCAAAATCGGTCATTATTTCTTTACCCGACAACTCTTTCATCCTTCCCGGGTAAAGAGGGGCAGTTGTTGATACCCAATTTTTCCCTCATATATTTTAAATATGCATATATATTTTTTCAAAATTGTGCACATGCATTATTATTAGATTTACAAACATGCACAAGTATTTTTATAATTTTTCTATAATTTTAAAGGTTTTAAATCAATTTATTTCTGCACTTTTTATTGTACAAATATCCAATAATTATCCCTCATATTATTTTTATGATGATTTAATCATTTAAATTCATTATTTATGCCCATATAGTGTTTAAATATTTTAACCACATTTTTATATTTACATTTGCATTTTTTAGATTAAAATTGCATATTTTGTAATAATAGCCCGTATATACTTATAATTACTTTGTTTTTGCAAAAACAAAATAGCTTTTATATTTTTATAAGGATAAATAATTGTCATTAATTATTTTGTAGGCACAAATGATAATTTTACTATTTCATTTATCATTTTTTACGAAATATTTTATTAATTAAAAATGGGTATTTGAATCTGGCCCCATTTTATTTAAGATCGAACCTAGGCTACCCAAACCATCCCAATTACCCAACCTAACTACTTAAAAACTAGCCCAGTCCACCATACCCCAAACCAAACAACCCCTAACCCACAACCCGGTCGCGACCCGCTCCTAAACGACCCGCTCCATCCATTTTTTTACCCCAGCCGTTGATCTCTCAGGATCATCGGCCACCATCCTTTCCCCCCCTTTTCTTATTAACCCAACCCCAGAAACCCTACCCCATTTCACTCAACCCGCGCCCTTAAACTCTCCCAACGGCTCTCCGTCTCTGTCAAACCCTAATCCGCCATCACCTAATTTCCTTCTTCGATTCCAACCCGATATGGAATCCCTTGATGATTTTCTTACCTTATTGGTCCTATCTCGCTACTGGCTACTCGATTATGGTATAACCTAATAGCTTTCCTAACATGGCAAGCCGATTTCCCTATTTTTGGACCAAATCTGGTTCTAATCTTTCTCCTTTCTTCATCTATGATCATTCTTCATCTTTTCGAGTACGAATCTCCGAGATTTTCTTTAATCTTTGTTTACTCTAAAGTTGGGGTTTAGATCTTTTAATCTATTAATATTCCGTTCTTTGTTAAAAATGTCATCTATGTTTCCGCATGTCTATCTATGAATATTTTTTGCGATTTTCATTAAAAAGTTTTCCGTCTAATTTATTTTGCCCTAAAATTAGGGCTCAGATCTTTTAAGATCTGTTCTGGTTCTATTTTGGTTGAATATCTTCTGTAATGTTTCCGTGTATCTACCTGTGTGCATCTCTATATGATTTTTTATAGATATTTCTGACTAATTTTTACTTACCCTAAACTTAGAGTTCTTAGATTTTCTTAAATCGGACCAAAATTAGTTTGACTCTTTGATTTTTAGTGCTATTTGGGTCTATATTCATCTTATGTTATTGCTTTTGTGTATATCGTGGTACTATGGTTTTCCTTAAAACTAGGGTTTGGAACTTTTACTGATTTTTCGATACTCTTTCCTTTCTCATACGGGATTGATATTTTCCTTATTCTGTTCAATGTACGACATTTCCTTTATATCTTTACCTTATTTTGCCTTGAAACTGTTTGTTAATTGATATCTTCCTTATTTTAAGTGTTACTCGCCTGATTACATGCTATTATGCCTTGTTAATTGACTGAGCTCTGTACTGTCGATTCCGTAGCTACGGGCTCGATGATCTTGAAGACGCATGCTCTAACTTCGTGTTGATTCGATATAATCCGGGGTCGATCTTTAACCCATTACATTTAGCCGCGATCTGTCATGCAATAGATGAGCCCGGTT